TCTTTGTTGTTTTCTGGGGAAGCCAAATAACTTTGAATGGGCGTTTGGGGGGTTGGGGATGAAGCCAGTTTGAATGGGGGCTTGGCAGGTTTGGGGTGAAGCCATGTTGAATGGGGGGTTGGGCAGGTTTGGGGTGCCATAAACTGGATGAAGTCAGGACTGAGTCATGACCAGAAAATAATTTGTGTACTAGTTCAGACCCGTATGTAATGCACCTCCATCCAAGGTTCGCGAAACCTGAGAATCCGATTCTAGGAAACTTGCATAATTTTAATCTGGCTTGCTCAGCTATTGGGCTCCCCTATGAGGGTTGTGCTCAACTATATGATATGTCCCCACTTTTTGTATGGTTCCCCATCCAGGTTTGCATCCAAACCAGGACGACCCTTTGAGCTTAGTTTGTATTGTGGGCTTCTTTTGGGAGGCGAAGATACCTACCAATCAATCTTCCTATTTGGTCCTTGTCGCATTCTCGCCCAAACCTTCGCGGCAGCCGTGGCCTGAACCCCGAAACGACGGAACCCCAGCGGAGCCAGCGGAGGCGGTTGGCCTGAAGCGCAGCTTCGGGCTGTGCTGTGAGGCCCGGGTGAAGCTCGAGGCCGGGATGGAGTTGACACGAACTCCCTTACGGGGAAACCGGGGAAAAATAACGGATGGAATGGGAGGGGAGGAGGAATTTGTGTTCAAAAAAGGAGTCAAGCAACTGGGAAACACGTCCAAAGCAAGGTGGAAAAGGGTAACATGTCAGGGGCGAGTGTGCAAAAGTGTCAAGGGGGGAGGGAAGTGGATACTTGGAGACTTTTGCTGGGGAGGGGGGAAACGTGCGGCTATACTCGAGGTTTGTATCATTTGCGGACTCCAGCATTGGCCTCGGCATCAAACTGCCGGGTTGCTTGGGTTTGGGTTGATTTCAGCATGTTCAGCAGTTCTTGGGGCAGCAGATGAGTCCGCTCCATCCAAGTGGCAGCAAATCCACGGTGTCGGCGAGCGGAAGGGCAGTGCTGGATGGGATTGCAAAGCAGGGGTCCCCTGAAAGTTTGTGCTAGTTCTGGCTCCTTGGGAATCAATATAGCGTTTGGGAATTAACCTAGGGACGCCCTTAAAGGACACCACAGTGGTTCACAGGGGTCATTCAATCATTCCATGGTCAGCTTTCACTCTTTCTGTGTGCAGCCAGGGTTTCAGGGGGGGTGAGTGGGGGTGTGGGGGTGACGAAAGATGTTTGTTTGGATACCTCCCTCCAACAAGATTTCTCGCGCAGGAATGCCAAACTTGTGGAGCCATATGTAAAAGGGAAACAAAAACATAGTTTTTGAGGGTACTAGGGAGGGTTGATGATCGTGGAGCCTTCAACTGTTGCCTTGAATCATTGAACTTGCAAGGAGACCGGTGTGAGGAGCCCTCGTGACCATGATCCACATGAGGGAGTTTTGACCATGAACGGGTGGCCAGCCAGCTGTTCGGGTGGTCCGCCTGGGAAACTGGAAACGGGTTGGCCCATTTTCCGCGATGCCAAGGGAGTCTCCTTTTTGGTACCGAAAATGGGTGAGGGTTGGATGGTACCTCTACAAGCCTCTGTTTTCCCCCCGAGAAACCAAAGGAAGCCATGCATTTTGTAGAATCCAAGTGCCAAGTTCTGTTTGGCAGCCGGCTCCGCCAGGCGAGCGATGTGGGAGAGGCGCAGGAGTTAGTGCGACAGGCAGGGGTTCTGGGCGAACCAGCGAGACTGTTTCTGCAAGGTCGATGTAAAACACATGTTTCGGGGGAAAAATACGGGGAACCCCCCTAAGATCGAATTCATGGCCGAGGTCTGTGGCACTAGAAGCGGGTACCACCACGGTATACGATCGAAACAAGTTGGACTTCCTCAACAACGCAATTGTTGGTCAAAGCAACATGCTGGACTCCCCAGAAATTGCAACACCGTGCAGGGGGCCCTCTTTGTCTGGCAGTCGTGTTGATGTGATCTTCGAGATCTTTAACTTGCCGTGGGTATTTGAGATTTGCTGAATTGGGGGTTCAAACATGCGGGGGTTTGTTCAAGCAAGGCATTCGAAGCCTCCAGTGTTTCGGTTCCGTTTCGTTTCCCTCTCAAGCACAAACAGCATGGCTTGCGATGCACCAGCTTACCGGGCTTCGCCAAACCGAAAGCCGTCAAGCCCAAGGCACCGGGCCTTGCACTCGCTCAGGCGAAGGTTCTTGCCAGGAGCCTGCTGGCGGCCAGTCTCGGAGAGTTCGCGTGTCGACCCGGAATTGGGCAATGATCATAGGGATTCGGGAAGGAAGATGGGGCATCAACATATTTGTGGTTGGGGGAAAGCTGAGCTAGGGGGCTTGTGGGGAACTGAGGTGAGGGGGGTTCTCCGAGTGATCCGGATGATGCGGTTCATCTCATGGGACAAGAACCGTGCGGATCCGGTTGCAGCATTTGGTGCTTCACTAGAAGGATGGAGTGCGAAGGGCGGCATGTATAAGGTGTGTTGACTCTTGGACATCTAGCAGCACCACCCGCTGCAAAGAAGCAAACAACGAAGCCAAGGAAAACAAACGAATCAAATACTTACAAAGACAACGAAACCAAGGAATACAAATGAATCAAACACCTACAAAGACAACGAGACCAAGGAATACAATGAATCGATCAAGGTGTCCGCAACACAGACTCTAATGTCCAGTCATGGCGGGTACCGTCAGAAGAAGGCTTACTCCGGTGAATGCCACACTGGCCTTCGGCCTTCACATAATCTCCACCATAGGGCGGGCACAGTCGAAAATACAATGGTGACAAAGCACCCTCGCACGCCCATGTGTGAGTCGTTCTAAGTCCTGAGCTTTGTTTTAAGAACTGATGTTCACCTTGTTGTTGTGGTTTGCGTGGGCCTCGAAACGCACAAGCTCCGCGGAAGCGCAGCAGAAGCTTCTAGCTAACATAAGAATAGCATGTGTTTAGATCCCGTGATTTCACAAGTAGGCGTAACGTGTTTGTATTTTGTCTGCAGCATTCTGCAGCGGAAGCTCTGCGGAAGCTCCGCGGCAGCCTCTGATGTGGGTGGCGTTTCTCAGCCGTGCCTATCGCATTGCGTCACGCAAGCACAAACAAGGAAGAGATTCGACAGGGAAAGAAACACTCGCTCTCCGCAGAAGCTCGCGACGCCCGCCCGGAAGCCCGCTCGGAAAACCCTGTCGTGTAACGCGTTTTCCTCTTGACAAGCTCTGACACACACAGTCACACAGCTGGGCGTAGCACAGTGTGCTGATGAGAACGGTGCCCGTGACGTTTTGTCAATGGTTGGATGCATGTAGAGGTTCCTGTCTTCTTGTATTTCACGCAAATGAGTAGAATGGACCCGTCAAGGGCCTTCAATGCCGTCTAACATGGCTAGCTTGCGGTTGCAGTGCCCACTTTCGAAGGCCGTCAAAAATATCTAGGTGTTTGGCATGTGTCCAGCGGTTTTCCTTCAGTTTCCCGAACCAACCTGAACAAAGCGCCTCACACAGCCTTGGTCCTGTGGCAGAAGGAGTTTCACGCTTTTGCTTCGCGAGGGCCACTTGCCGGTCGATCGATGGGAGTTGCTTCCAGGTGGGCAGTGACCAAGAAGGCCCAGGCGGGGGGTCATGTAAATACCATACATATTATATATATATATATATATATTATATTTGTGTGCATGTATATATACATACATGCATACATGTTTCGAAGACATGATTTCATATGTATATGCATGTTTGTTTTACGAAAAGTCAGTGTGTTTGTGTTTGTGTGTCAGCTCTGATCTGCACAGCTCCGCTTTGCGCAGCTCCGCTCTGAGCAGTCCTGCTTTGCACCCCCCCCGTGCCAGCATGGCCTTGCTATGCCTTGCTGTTCGGCGCGTGTCAACATATCCTTCCTGAGCAGACCATGCCAACAGCTTTGCCACACCACACATGTCAATGTAGCTCTGCACAGCGCATGTCAACATAGCGGGGCTGCGCGAGTTAGCGTAGCTTGGCCGGGCACATGTCTTTGTGTTTGTGTTAGTGGCTTATAGTACGCCGGCTGTAGACTCTTTGATTTTCTGCGCACAGCGCGTCTCAACATAGACGCGCAGCGCAGCGCCTCTCAACATAGTCTTTTTCCGGACAGTACGCGTCAGCGTAGCCTTGCCTAGCACATTTCGACATAGCTTTGCTACGCAGCGCGCCTTGTCCTAGGCCTTGCACAGCCCTTTTTGGGGGCATCGTCGCATGTCTCGGGCTGTGCCAGGCTCGCCGGGAGCTGGGCCCTCGGAAGTGCGGTAGAAAGAACGGAGCCCATCCAGCCATGTGCCAAAAGCCCCACAATTTGTGGTTTTCCCTTTGGTTCCCCTTGGAACCAAGGTGAAAAGGGTTACCCTTACGCATGTTTCCCACGCCAATGTGAACTCGGGATTTTAACGAGGGGACCCCTACCCATTGCAACAGATCACTCCCCGACGAAAGGCGAACCACCCCCCGCTTGCATCCGAAGTTAAAGAGATGCTTTGTCATTGCCATGGTGTTGCGCTCTTAGATCCCTCTTTGTCAGGCAAGCATGTTTGTCGGGTTTCATCCGACACACCCCGTGTTTTGGGCGAGTCTCACGGAGTGGCGGAATCAGCCCAACCCATCCCGGAAGCCTTTTTTTCCGGGATCGGGGGAACTTGCCGATTGGTGCCTTCTGATTCCTGATTGGCCCCTGGGAAGGCACAGGCTCCACCCAACCAAGTGACCCCCGACTTAAAATGAGAACCTCAGAGCCTCACATCGGCGACCTCAGAGCCTCAGGTGCCCAGTAAGATGTGTTCACCTTCTGGGTGTGTTGGCCCAACCATGGAAGAACAGCTGGAAAGTTCAATTTCTGCCTGAAGAGTGGCTCTGGGGGTCGGCTGGGAAGGACACATCAATGGGGAACTTTTGCAAGAACCCATTGGGGTTGTCGAACTGAGCCTGTGCAACAAACAGTTGATGGGATATCAATTCAAGGTGGTTCACACGGGCTGAGTAAACTGGATTTGACATTCTCCACCCACCTGAGGGAGGCGCCCCACGGGTCCGCCACAAGAGCCAAAAACGGTACATATCGGGTGGCGCGATCTGGAGGCTGAACCCACAAACTACTCTGGGCGCTTGGCCCACAGGAATGTTATGCCTGTACCACGAGGTGTCTTTGTACGTTTGTTGAAAGCGCTTTTGTGGCTAAAGTTCATTGGGAGCGGCGTCGAGATCCAGGGCCTTGACCAGGCTCGCGCCTTCCGCGACTGCGAGAAGCAGGCGGCCTTCTGGGCGCTGGGCAAAGCGCTTGAGATCGGTGCCAAGGGGAGTCAAAAAGGAACACGGAGCCCCCTGAAAGAGGGTGCTCCCTTGGTTTTATGGTAGCTTGTTTTGGGATGTGCGCACTTGGGAGTGAAGTAGACAAGTGAGTGGACCAGATGCAGACAAGGGGAGAATGCATCATGTCGGATTTTTGGGCTGCAAGGACTGTAAAGTCATGAGATGGCTTGCGGCGGGAGGCGACATCAACCCTTTTGCCAGGAGCTCACGCAGATGCGCACGGCGATTCAGCAAGAGGCAGGTGCTTGCCTCACGTGAAGCAGATTTCGCGGCTGAAGCCTGTGCTTGCATTCATGTGTCCGGAGGAGAAATGGAGGGGACTGCTTGGAAGGCAGGGATTAGGTGGAAGATAATTTCACCAGTACCCACTTCTTTTATCCAAGTTAAGCCCGCCACTCACTCCGAGTAAAACTTCTCAGAAACTCCCTGAGTTTTTGGGACGGCTTCGAGAATTCTGGGGGGCGCGTAGGGTGCCCCGAGTTTGTCTCGTTTTATGCTGGGCTATGACAGGCCCTGATTCCTGGCCAGGCCCAAGAAATGCTGGAGCTGTGCGAAATGCTGGAGGAAGAGGTGCGCTTAGGTCGAAGGAAACAATTGGATAGGGAGGGCCTGATTAAGTAGAACTGGACGTTAAAAACCAAATTAGGTCGTGATCGGAAGATGATGCTATTCGAAATTATGTAGCCACTCATATTATGTCGTTATGTTTTTCAGCGGCGACAGCTACGCATTAAACATGGGGTGACTTAGGCGTGCTCTAAATCCCTTTTGTTCGGTGTTTTCCGAGGCCACTACAGATGAAATCAAGCCCAAAAAGAGGTACCTTTTCCTGCCAGGGTCACTGGGCAACTGGGGTTTTGGAAGGGTGCCGGTATGGTTTTGGGGAAGTGTGTGGGTGGCTGCTGATCCTTGGGCTTTTTCCAGGTTGCCTCGTTTGGGTGGTCATGGAATTTGGAGTTTTAGACCATGTGATCGATTGGACATGGTGGATGGCCTCAACCGCCATGCCTCCGCGTGCAGGTGAAGCTCCTGTGCGCCCGCCACCACTTAAAACCCGCAGGGAGAGCAGCCGTCGAGGAGGTGTGCCGAAGCAATTCCCCCAAAGCATTTTTGTAGTTGCAGATCTGGATCGACGTTTTGTAGCATCGTTTACATGGGTAATTTGTTTTGCGGAGGGCACTCTTGACATCGTGGCCGACTGGTGTTGTCATTTGTCCATGGGCTGGTGGAACATCGGAGAGGTCGACCGGCCAAGAGGCCCCCAAGCGGACGGTAGGCACGAGTTTGGTCTTGCGGGGGAAGCCGGCCCCTTGATGGCCTCAAAAAACAAAGCCGTATTTGACACGGTTGTGGGAAGAGGATACGCCACTGTGGTATTGTCGGGAGCTGTTGTTCCTCCTCTGCAAGCGAAGGATTGGCGCTTGCGGGCCCAAGGCGAATCGACTTGATCTGTCCCCTTTGGGTATGGAGGTCTCCCTACAGCCCGTTTCTTTCTTTTGCCTGGGAAACTCGCCCAACTAGCCAACCAGAGCCCCGTTTCTGCCAACCCGGCTGATTGGAGAAATCCGCCTAACATGAATGGGGCGTGCTGCGGGCCCCCGTTCGTGTTTTGCCAGGCAGGAAGAGCAGGGCAAGCTTCCTCCGCCACCGCCGCCGCCGCGCATCATGCTGAATGGCAGCTTCAAACTCGAAGGTGACAGCAAATTTGAAGGCGCGCAAAGGGGGAGCCTGGCATGCGGGGGTCATCGCAATGTGATACAACATGTCATGGGCTGTATCAATAGGTTTAATGTAAGGCACAAGTTTCTTGAGCCGTGTGTGTTCTTTTCTACTGTTGTGACCTGTCGAATGACATCATTGCAAGACGTATTTCAAGGCTTCACTATAAATATGGACCAGAACCTAAAACTCGTTCTAGCTGGGCAACAGTTGAGGTAGACAAACTGGGTGCTAGATGGCCCATAATAATCGTAGTTGCCCTGAAGGAAATAAGCTGTTGTTAACAGCTAAAAACTGTTCACTTCGGATCATATCGAGCAAGACCATACGTTCCAATGGAATGCCTCGAAAATAGATCACTTCTGGGCGAAGCGAAACTTGCTGTGATAAAACCGGAGGCTATATAAATCGAGTCGTTGGAACTGCAGTTTTTGGAGCCACCATTTTTGGGTGCCCCCCTATTTTGACACATACCGACAATAAACAACTATGAAAAGCTGCGCAAGCTACGCTACGACTTGGGAAGCTGCATCGGAATCTACGAGATGAACTGTATGGCAGTTCTAGAGACAATGCTTACCCTCCTTCCCACGTTGCCACGGAAAGTGCCCTTTGAGGAAAATATAGGACAACTGTTTTCCAGCTAGTTTCCCTCAGCTTCTTGGGTGGGAGGAGGCTATTCATGAGCGCCTTTGGAGATTTCATGTCAATTTCCCTATGGGCATTCGGGAAACTCGGAACCATGCATGTCGAATAGCTTAAACAAAACTTGGACTCCGAGGCCAAGGCATGGAGTTGATTTTAGGCTGAACCCCCCCCTTGCTGGTTTTTGGCAGCCAGATCTCCAGTGGTTCCATGTGCCCATATTCCGAGGTTTTGGAGGGGTTCCCTGCAAAATCAACCTGCAAAAACGGTCCCGCTCGTAGCTGAGCCCTGGTCGGTTGAGACACAGAGTTGGATCTTTTGCCCACCCGACAGTTCCCGAAAAGTTGGCTTTAAGTTAGAATTATTTGTTTGGAGTCAAAATCAATCAAATATCACCTTTTGGGACCCATTTACAGTGAGAGGAGTGATGGGGGAAACATAGGAGCCCTGTATTAGGCCCCGCTTAATGTGCCTAGGATACCGCAAAGGGAGGGGCATGTCGCGTTTGTGTTGACCCCCAAATAAATTCCCAGACTATGTACTGTCCACTTCTCCCATCATGAGCTGAATTATTAGTATGAGCATCATTATTAGTCGGTTAGTCGTCGTAGTAGGAGTAGCAGTAGCTGTAGCAGTAGCAGTAGCAGTAGCAGTAGCAGCAGCAGCAGCAGCAGTAGGAGTAGAAGTAGTAGTAGTAGTAGTAGTAGCAGCAGTAGTAGTAGTAGTAGTAGTAGTAGTAGTAGTAGTAGTAGTATATACTAGTAGCAGTAGTAGTAGTAGTAGTAGGATATTCTAGTAGTAGTAGTAGTAGTAGTAGTAGTAGTAGTAGTAGTAGTAGTAGTAGTAGTAACAGCAGGAGCAGCAGGAGCAGCATTGTTGCTACTACTATCCTTAAATTGGGAGTGTTCATCTTGCATAACACTGCTCTACAGCCCAATACCAACTGAAGAATTCCAGCAAGGGTCTACGTTAGAGATTTGACTTTGGCTGGACTTTGCCACTTCCCAGGTTTCTGGACTGTAGGCAATGCTTGTTTTTTTTGGGGATGGGGGAGGCCATTCATAGTTTGTCAAGTGCGAGTCCTCCGCAAATCAAGCGAATCAGGATTGTCCTTGTCCCAGTGTTTCCAACTGACGGCCGTCTCAAAAGCATACCTAGTACTATTGCTGGTTGCTTTGAGGTGGCACTGATTCGCCTTGCACCGGTCGGGTTCCTGGGCTGGGGCCGTTTTTGGACTTGGGATGCGTCCCATGGGAATCTCCATGGGCCAGGTGCGGCATCGCCCGGGCGATGCGCGGGCGAGAGGCTTCAGGTCCGGAAGGCCCTGGAAGACGTGCGGCGGCCCAAAGCGACAGACGAGGGACTGTGTGGCTGTATACTTGTTGGTAAGACCATTTATAGTGATGGAAAGGGTGGTATTTTGGGCATGTTGGTGTCCAGCCGCCTTGCTTTTCTTTGTTCACCGAGGTGTGTGCTTTTGCAGGGGAACCCACCTGTTTTGAAGGGAAACCGGGAGTTCGGCCAAGTTGATGGGGGGCTTCACTTCAGAGTGGCGAATGGGCGCGGCTTCCTTGTGCAATTTGTACCAAATTGGTACCCTTAGTTGGGGTAGTTGTGTTCACAGGAAAGCCAAAAGATAAAGCCAATTTTGCCGTGCTTTCAAGGGGGAAAGAATGGCACACCACCTGTTGTAGCCTGTCTTAGAGGGAAAACCAATAAAGACATGTCCCATGTTTGGTGGCTTTATCCATTTGGCGTCCAAACCTAGCACCCTCCACCGAAGTTTGAGTTCCTCTCAATGGTCTCCATGGACTAGCTACGGGGCGTGCTCGCAACCGTATGGGTTTGTCTCATGTGGAAACCTCTAAACTGAGCGGTTTCCTTTTTGGTTTGCCTTGAAAGCAACCATTCTAAAAGGTCTCTCAAGCACACGCGCACGCACACACACGCACACACACACACACACACTAGCATGCGCACGCACACGCCAACGCGCGCGAGCACGCACACGCACACGCACACAGAGCTATGTTGTCCCTTTAAACCGAGGGTACCAGTGAATACATGGGATATATGAGTGGTATACTAGAGTCTATGTATAGGGGCACGTAGCCCAGGGTCACATATTGTTCCAAAACAAGACATCCGGGAATCATCCGGATTGCGGCATGGAACGGAAAGCATCAGGTGTTCCAACAGTGGAAAGCCAACACATGGGTTGCTTGGGTTGATCGGGGTGCACAATTCGTGCTGGTGTGCTCCATTTTGCCGATGTCGGGGCACTAGCTTGGCTCAGAATTCAGCATCTTGCCGAGATGTCTTTTCAGTCAGACTATTAAGAGATACTGGCATGTAAGTTTCTTTAAGGTGGAAAAGCCTTCTTTGAGGTGGAATGCCGCCGTTGAAGCGTACAGCAAATTCCTCTTGGAGGCATGACCTGAACTTGTCCAGCCAAAAGTCAGGGGCACCCAACAGTCGTATTCCGGGCGCGATGACGTTTTGGCCAAAGCCTTGAGTGTGGCGCCAAAAAGCGGACGGACAAAAGAGGCGGGGGGGAGGAGGTTGCAGGCATGAAGCGACGTGAGGGAGCTGTGACAGCGTGAAGTAAAGAGCTGAGAACCCAGGGTCGAGTCAACCCGCTGGTCGAAGAACAGATTGAATTATTTGCGTGATCTGTCGAGGCTAGGGTTACTTTTGAGCTTTGTGATGGAAAGCGGACCAGCCCGCTGGCTGACTAATGGAATCTGGGGTCGACGTCAGCCAACTGGCATGCTTGTTGGGCCGCAAACATTTCGCGGCCTTGTATTACCGCCCAAAAGGCAGCCTCAACAAGCAAAACAGCATGGATACGTGAGCATCTCGTCAGCTAAACTCTGCAGAGATTTCATGAGGGTTATCCAACAAGCAAATGCCTCTGTTATTTGTGTTTACTTTTTGTTGTGATCCCCCCTAAATGATGGAAGTTTTACCCCTCCGCTCCCTGGACTCCCTTTCCACCCTCTCAGCTCAGTCTGAATATTGGCGGCGCGCTTGGCGAACGCTTAGTAAGCCCTGGCCGGCAGTTGGGACATTCTTCACTGCGCACAGCCCAGCGGAAAACAATAATAGCGCGAGCAGCGAATCGAGTTTCTAAGCGCTTGCTAGTCGTCAGCAAGCAGAGGGTTTGCGCCAACACACATAGACCGCCTGGAAGGCATGGGGAGTGGTTTTCGAGATTTCTATACCGATTCTCAGAAGTCCTTTGATGTCCACCTTTGGACCTCGGGGTCTAAACCGGGTTTGGCCTCACCTTGTTTAAAAATGCTTCAGCTAATATTGTTTCAAGAACCTCCTGTTGTTTTCCCGTTGAACCAGCCTCAGGTTGTTTAAATCATGTTTGCAACCAGCCCTGGTCAAATACCACACACGGCCCACAACTGACGTATGACTTGGACCGTTCCTGGGCTATCAAAGTCAGAAACTGGTTTGTTTCCCTTTAGCCTACCTCTTGGGGGTGAGTGGGTGGCTTTGACAACAGTAGAATCATGGTGCCGGATCTTTCCAGAAGCCACTTTCGGTATATGGGTACCCATATACACATAAATAAATATATATATATATATTAAAGGAGATCCACAGGGGGGGGGTACCATATAATTATACATATATATATATATATAAGACCAAACTCACTACCCCCAAAACACTACCCCCAAAAGCCCACATTTTGTCCTCCAGCGAACCCGTGCGTGGCCCCTAGAATGGTGAGTTTTTATCAGCTCAGTTCTTCAGAATGGCTTAGCCTGGTGCCCGTCTACCTCGTGGCTAAAAGTGGTGAACTTGTGTGGTCGATTGTCCCGGTAATTATTCGAAATGCAATTTTGGGGCTGTTGCCACCCACACCGACTCCGGAACTCCCGCACTATCCGCGCGCTACCGCCCCCAACTAACCCCAAACTGGGGGTAGTGGTGTGATTCATCTTTTTCACGCGCATGCCAGGTGACGTGTGACTGCCCCCAAATCGCCCAGTCAAATCCACTACCCCCCAAACCGCGCGTTTTGGGACTCACTACCCCCACAACCGGGGATGTGGCGGTCCCTCCAACGCGACATGATCAAAGTAGCAAACCAAACTGGCTGCCAAGAAAGCAAAGCTTTGATGTTCACCTTAAACAAAGATACCGGCGCAAACCAAGCGTTGATGTTCACAAGTTTCAACGTCAAACTGATAGCAGCGAACCCGGATGAAACACATGCCGCAGCTCCAGAATTACCTGGTTTCTGCAGCAGCCAAATATGCACAAATTGAGCCGCCCTCGTATAACCCTTATACAACCCTTTCCTAACCTCTATATACCCTGTATATATCCATTGGCTCTGGGGGTAGTGGTTTGGGGGTAGTCAATGTAGTCTTAGAATATAGATATACGTATAGTAGGTAACTAGGGCAAATCACCACGCAATATCTACAACATTTGTTTGCAACATATTGCGCCAGCAAACCCTTCCACTACCCGTCAGGCCATCCGGGCGGATCGGATCGCGCGGCGGATGCACCGCACGCTGGCCGCGCAGCGCCGGAGCACGGATGCCCCGCGGAGCCACTTTGAGGGCAAGGCGCGGGGGGGGGGGGGGTTGAGAAGAATGAGAGTCAACCCCTGGGATCTAGAAATGCTTCCAAGAGTCGCTATGAATACCCCCGCACCAGACTCATCTAGGGAAGGTTCTTGAGCATCACTCCGTTTAAAACGGCCCAAAAATGATGGTGCCCTCGCTTTTGAGTATAAACTCACAAAGGATGGTATCGCCCCTTTCTTCGGGATCCATTTCTTTCAGCAGCTGGGTCTTTACCTAGGGGCTCCGGGGTGGGTCTCTGAGGCAGGGTTCCACAGCGCGGGGCGGTTCTGGCTCCGGCGATGCATGGGCTTGGGGATTTGAGTTGTGCGGTTTGGAAGGGTTCGGGAGGGTCGGGGATGCACGGGGAGGCTATGCATTCCGGTTCCTGGGAAGCGCGGTTCCGAGTTCTGGCTATCCCTTTGGAGATCGTATGTGAGCTTATTTAGGTTTTGGAGCGGTTTTGGGTTGCCACTCTTTGTGAGAACTGTATTTACAGAATTACAGAATCCCCCTTTTGAGCCAATGTCCGTCTGACTCTGGCACCGCTAATACAGTGGATTGGATATGGATGGCGGGTCCAAAGTTGGAAGTGCTAATTAGAACCCACCATTATGAATTTGCCCAGAAAAAAGTCCACAGGAATGAGTCACCCCTAGTTCCCAACATGGATGGGAGGCCGAGGTGCATTTTGGATTCTTCAACCAAACACCCCCCGCGAGGCGAGGAATTCCCGCTTGACACCAAGTCCCCGGCTTCACTTCCTCAGGAAAAGCTCCAGTTTCTGGCTTTGGCACGGGGAGGGTCCAACTATCTGTGGGGAAAGGCCTCTTTGACAAGCGCGGCACCATTGGGCTTCAACAAAAAGCATTCGGTTCTGGAAGACCAAGCGACATATCTAGCCCTTTTGGTTTCCGAAGTGACAACCGAAGACGAGAGTCGCCGTTGATGGCTCCCCGTGATCTGGGAAGGGCTGTGAAATTCGAGGGATAAAGAGACGCCATGGGAGCTTGCGCGCACCACCCAATCCCAGAAGTTGTTGTTTTTGTTTTTGGCCCTTCAAAACGTGGTTGGCGACATACCTCGAGTTTAGGGGTCAACTTAAGGCATCGAAGACTCTAGGTGGTAGTCTATGGTGGCCAAAGAGTCCAAGTACAGCACTAAAAACGACATCTAGCCTGGGCTGGTTGAGCTGCCCTGCCACCAGCCCGCCCCTCCGAGCAAAAAAGACCCGGCGCCGATCAGCGCAAATGGAGTCCAACAACGGCCACGACCCAGACCTGCCCAATCATTGCAGGAGTTGCTCACAGGGACCGCCTCGCTGGAATTTTCATGCGTGATGGCAAAGAAACGGCTCAAAGCCCACCCCGCCCTCGCAGGGGGGCCAGTGCTTCTCCTCGCGCCGGTGCCTGCAACCGCACAATGCTGCAAGCAGTGACACGTACGTCAAGAGGGAGCCAGAAACAACGTAGCGAAACGATGAACTCCAAGTGTCCAAGCCTGCGTTGAGAAGCATGGCTCGTGGTGAAGGTCAACGCGATCCCGAAGGTTACACTGTCCAAGCGCCTGGACGGAAACCTTTCAAAACGGAGTAGGCCCGAGGGAGTGTGCTGAGTTCTCGAAGCTGATCACACGGGCAAGCTCGGAGCTGAGCAACCGGCCGTGCGCCGGTCTCAGCATTTGCGCGGCTGCAATGCAAGAAGGAAGGATGGCGCGTTGCCCGTTGTTTTTGTTCTTCT